AAAAAAAAAAAAAAAATCTGAACTGGCACCAGGAATATCTCAACCCAAGACTCGGGTGTGCCTTTTGGTATAAACATTTCTTTAAAATTGCTTTGCTCTTTGTGAGGTCAAACAAGTGTTCTCTGTCTCTTTCGTATTTTAGTACAGGGCCTATAAGGTCTCACTACACAGAACAGACTCGTAGTGATTCTGTTTTCAGCCTCCCCAGGTGGCACCCAGTCTCATTCGCCTGTCTCAGCACGTGTCTGCCTAAGCAGGTGCTTTAATTCACTGAACTATCTGGCTGGCCCTCAAGTGCCCTCTTTCTCACTGACAAATTAAAATAAAATTTCTGGGCTGGAATATAGTTTTGTGATAGAGTGCTTACCTACCATGGGCAAGGCTTTGGGTTCAATCCCCAACACCAAAATAAATATTTTTTTTAAAAACCTTTAAGGCAAGCTTTTTTTTTTTTTTTTGGTAAATACTGGGGAACAAACTTAGGACTTTGTGCTTGTCATTCAGGTGCTTATGCCACTAAGCTAGCTCTGCAGTCCTAGGGCAAGCCTTACTAAAATTTTTAATATAGAACCAGATCTCTCATCAAATAATAGTAACAGTTCAATCCAAACCAGGATATATAGACCAATATGTACCCTAGACCTTATTTTGCTTTTGTTTTCAGTGTTATTCTCATAGAACCAAATACCCACTTAGTCCCTGAGTGGTCAGATCCAGATTTTTCTGCCTTTACATGGATGGCCTTTTGAATAGCTGGGCAAAGCATGGTAATGTGAAACATTTATAAATCAGAGTGAGCAAACTTTTGGTGTTTTGTTTCCTCTGGTCCCAGATGTCTGTCCTGACTCTACAAAGGGAGAGGCTGGGGGCATCAGAAAAGGGAGTAACTAACAAGAAACTCTGAGTTATGAGGTCTATACTTTTTTTTTTTTGCGGAACCAGGAATTGAACTCAGGCCCTTGCACTTGCCAGGGAAGCGCTTATTCTACTGAGCCATCTTCCCGGCCCCATCTATACTTTTAATGACTTAGAAAAAACACACATTTCAGGGGAATGAAAAGAAATAAATAGCTCTCGATAGGCTTCTCTGGAGGAATACTGAGAAATGGAATTTGAAAGGGAATACATACTTGAGAAACTGGGTACTTGAGTCAGTATCTAACAGAGTCCTTAGACTCTGGGAAAGAGCACTTCCTATTCCTAAAATCCCTTGGGGCCCCTCCAGAGAAGCTTGAGGGCCTAGGCTAGAGTCCCAGATCAGCCCCATTCTCAGCTGAGATTGCCAGAAGCTCCCCTTAGAGAATGGATCGCTGAGCCCAAGGCCAGGTTTGCTCTTCTCGGCATTACCAGCCTTGGTCAAGCTGGCCCCAGTACTTCCTGCTCTGCTGCCTTTTCAGACTCAGGCAACTCCAGGAGCCTGGGTCCACAGCTGCTGATGCATTGAGTCAGAGCAGAGCCACAACCACAGAGCACATGGGGAAGTGGGACTGAGACACAAACATCCTGTCCTTTCTACATCAAGTGGCTCCAGCTCAAGAATCAGTTGTTGCAGTGATTATTTATGTGGGGCAGAACAGCCAAATGACACGCATAAACTCCTCTTCCCTGTAGTTATGGCTAGGAAGAAAGCATTTTCTCCTGAGTCCGTGGATTTAGAAGGTCTTATTCTTTGGCTTATGAAGTTGTTGGCAGGAGACATCAGGGATAACTAGGATGAGCAGGAATGTATCTGATAGAGCCCCGTGGGAGTTCCACTCAGCTGCGGAGAGTAGGTTTGCAGGTAGATCTATCTCTTTCCACAGACCAGTTAGAGAAAGAACAGAATCTGAAGCAAAGGCTCTGAAGCTGCCCCCATCCAGTCCCTACCATCTTTTTGGGGCTCCATATGCCTAAAAGACTAAAGTCTCACCTTGTATATGATCGCTTCCAGCTAAATATCTCCTCCAGATTGGGAGAGGGTGAGACCTCACGCTTCTGCAGGGTTCCCCAACGGCGACGGCCCCCTAAGAATGGGGTCCGGTGCCTGCTCAGCCCTTTCATCCTCTCTTCCATGTGGAAGAACTCAGTCAAGGCTCGGAAGGACTCTAAGATGACCTCATGGCTCCAGGCTGGCAAGGGCTCCTGGCGCAAAAAGCCACAGTGGCCTCCGTGGCGACTGAGTAGCAGAAAGAAGTAAGGGTTGCTGTGGAAGAGCTCAGCAGGCAGAGTATGGTCCGGTGGGCCACACACGGGGTCATCAGCGCTGCAGATGCACAGCACGGGCACAGCTGCCTCATCCACATCCCGGAGGGGGTCATTGCGATCCCAGTATGTGTCCCAGCTGATGGGGAAACTCTTGGTGTGGCAGAAGAGGGTCTCCTCAAACTCTCTCAGGGAGCGGCTCTTGAACAGCTTGCAGGTATCCACTGTGTCCTCCAGGGCTGTGGCATACCTGGTAGCAGGAGTTGAATGGGGAAGGGAGGGGAGAGGGAAGGAAGAATCAGAAAAACAGTGATAGAAGCTGCAGAGGAGTAGCCTACTGGCCAGATTCTCATCACTGAAGCTTTTTGAAGTTTTTTTTTTTCTTTTTCTTTTTCCTTTTTGTTGTGGTACCAGGAATTGATCTCAGGACCTTGCACTTGCCAGGCAAGCGCTTATTCTACTAAGCTATCTCCCAGCCCCTGAGTATGGCCCTTTTTAAAAGCTTTCATGTCATGGCCATCAGATTTTGCATAAAATGCAGATCTCCAAGGAAATGAATGGGAAGATCTGGCTGTGTGGGCTTGTATTCCTCCCTGTGTCACAGTGCACACCAGCCTTGTCATATATAGCATCACCAGTCCAGACCCCAGGGGCGACATTTGATTTAGAGGCAGCTTCTGATCTACAGGGACAGCTCTCCTCCCAACCTCAGCTCCTCACTCTTTCTAGGGAACTTGCTAAAAGCTGTGACCTCCTGGACTCTTTCCTACCCTCATAAATCACTGGAGTCACCCTGTTCAGTTATGATGTGTTGTTTTTGTATTTTTTCTATTTTTATTTTTTTAGTCCTTTATTTATTGATTTGGTACAGGGTCTCACCGTGCAGCTTGAACTCATAGTAATCCTCCTCTCTCAGCCTCCTCAGTGTTGGGATTACAGGTGTACACCACCACACCTGGTTTTGGTGGCCAGCTCAGTACTGGGATTGAACCTGGCAGATGCTTAGACCAGCTGAGCTATCTCCCCAGTCCTGTTTTTGTATTTTTATGTTAATATTGCTGTCCTGATATGACAACTGAGAGTGACCTGTGAACTTGATAAGATATATCTCAAGCAGATATTCCTAAACAACAATATTGTGTGGCAAGAAAGCAATCAGAAGTGTAATTAATTCATAAGAAGCATTCCCAAATAGGGCCTGAGAGCAACTGCCACAGGGAACAGCACTATTTTTGCTATTTCTAGCTCCCTTAAGAAAGCCTGGCATCCTAACAGGCCAGGGTGGGCAGCTCAGTCCTTTTGGTGGGTTAATCTGGGCAGTCTTTGCCATTTGAATTCAGTTGAATTTAATGTATGTTGCTTGCAAATATTGAAAGACACCGTCCCAAGTCTTCAACCACAAATTCCATGGGAATGGCAGCTTCTAAAGCATAAGTTACTTCTCCACTTCTAGCTGGTGCCCAGGGTCCTCACTGGTGGTGGTCATTTTGGAGTGGAAACTATGACAATTAAACTGCATAAGAACACCTTGTCCCTGGACTGCACCAGCCCTCTGGGTTGCTATGGCAGTGCTTCAGGCTGTTGTTCAGCTCAGGATTTGACCTTCTCAAAATAGGCAAACTGGGGCAAGGAAAAATCATCATAATTGCTGAGCATATTTATTGAGCACCTACCCATTGCCAGTCCTTTATTTAATGATCAGAACCACTTTGGGAACATGGCTATTGTGAATTATATTTAACTGAAGGGGAAAGTAAGTCTTAATAGGGTCTGGGAGTGGTGGTACATGCCTGTAATCCCAGCATTAAGGAAGCAGATAAAGGAAGATTGCTGTGTATTCCAGGCCAGTCTGGGCTACAAAGTGTGTTCAAGGCCAGCCTGAAATGGCTTAGTGAAACCCTGTCTCCAAAGAAAAAAAAAAAAAAAAGGTGTTGGTGTTAGGTAACTGCTAGAAATCCAAGATTTGAACCCAAGCAGGTCTAAATCCACATCCCAGGTCTTCCTTCTGCCTCATCCTCTTGTCATAATGCATTTGACCTCATTCCACACTCTCCAAGGGAAGACTGGAGTGATACTCAGGGCTTCTCAGTGAAAAAGTGTCACCCTGGTAATAAATTATTTTCCTTTTGGAGATTAAAATAAAAATCCATTTCAATATTTTTTAAAATTTTAAGTTAGCCTGGCAAGCTCAAGGTCCTGAGTTCAATCCCTGGTACAAAAACAAACAAACAAACAAACGAAAATAAATAAAAATTTAAGTTAAATGTTGACTACATATGCAGGATATCTGCCAAGTCGAAAGATTTTTTAATAAATCACATGCTGCTGTATTTCTGATCCCTATCACCTCCTGGCTCTGAGATTGTAAGGAAATATTCTAGACAGATAATGGGCTGTAATAGCCTCTAGAGCCCTTTTTGCTGACCTGCCCAGTTGCAGACTATAAATGTCAGGTGTCACCTCTGCTGTTGCAAGGCCAGGCACTCTGGTTGCTAGGACACCTGAGGACGTAACAGAGCTCCTGGGCATAAGGCCTGCTCTGCTCTAACACAGTGATGCTACATTATGTCTTTGAAACTTTCATTCTTGGTTCTATCTAGAATATGGAGTTTGGACAGCTTTGAAAAATGTAGGAGAACTTTGCCCAAACTGGCCCACACGTTTGTTTCCATAGGAGGCAGGGCTGTTTTCCAGGCCAGCCTGAGGCCTCCCTGCCCATCTTGGGCTTCAATTACCCACCTGCTGAGGGTGATCTTCTGGTACATCAGGAAGCCGCGCTCGTAAGGCCAGGGCAAGCCGGCCTCAAACCACTCCCGGCAGCGCAGCACAGGTGAGATGCAGGCGGCGCCTGTCATGTAACTGGAGGACCCGCACTCGCCTAGGTAGGACAGCAACAGTGCAGAGCCAGAACCCTCGCTCACGGCGAAGAGCGGGGCCGCAGGGTGTCGGAAGCGAATATAGGTGACCGCTTCTTTAAGGTCTGACGGGTCCCCAAAAGGCTGCAGTCGAGGGCTGACCAGTGGGCAGCCGTGGTGGCCACGGCGGTGGAAGATGACAGGGTAGTAGCCACGCTCCAGGGCAAGCAGACAGAGGCCAAGAACGTTGCGGGTGAGGCGCCCCCACGCGTTGGGGATCACCAGGAGCACCCCAGGGAGGCTCCCCGCACCGGTGACCCTGCGACCCCGGGAGCAAGGTCCTACCACCCAGTCCAGGGCTACCAACCCATCATCTGCCAACTGCAGGTACTCCCGGGCCAGCTCAGGCCCCGGCCCGACGGGCAGGACGAAGTGGCAGAGGGTCTGCAGGTGAGGCCCTGAGAGCCAGGGGCGTGGTTCAGGCTTCAGCGCTGCGGAGCGCCGCAGTGCGCGCAGCAAGCACTGGGCCAGCGCCGACGGCTTACAGAGGAGGCTGCAACCACCCGGCAGCGACTCTCGCCCGTCGCTGAACTGATCCGCGGGGCCTCTGGCGTCCACTTCAACGTGCTGGCCCAGGGTCCTGAGCTGGGTCCTCGCTCTGACGAAGTGCAGGAGTCTAGGGGCGAGCAGGAGGAGCAAGGCTAGCGCAGCCAGGAACACCCCGAGGGCGGCGCCCCACAGCGGCATGGCGCAGCCGAGAACTCCCGGCCAGCTGCGGGCAGCGGGCTCCGGGCCCCCTCGGCGAGCTCCCTGCTCAGCCCGCAGCTCCGCCTGGCTGTGACTGCCGCGCAGCGCCCAGCGCCCTCCGCGCGGGCTGGCGGGCGGGCGGGCGCGCGCGCTCGGGATTGGTCGCGGGCCCCGCAGAGGCAGCCAGTTCGGGTAGAGCTCCCCTCGCCCGCCCCCAACTCCCGCCCGCAGCCCTTTGTACAGTGATTGCGACAAGCTGGAGCGGAGGGTAAAAGGGGCCAGTGAGAGGGAGCAAGGACGTGTAGGCGAACCAAGAAATAGAGTAGGGGATTGAGAGGGGTTCAGTAGCGAAGTGGGGGTACCCGAAGAGGAGTTTAGGGACCCGGGGAGAGCATCAGAGCCCCCAGGCTCTGCCCTCCGTCCTATAAAATCTGGAGCTGACAAGGGAGGCGAGGGTGCGCTGCCTGCTCGGGGACCACTATTGCAAAGTGCCTGACGCGCAGCCCTGGGCCCTTCTCCCTGGGCTCCTAGGCGCAGCTGCAGCCAGGTCCACCGACCGCCCTCGTCCGGCTTCGCCATGCTCTTTGACCTCGGAGTTTGTCTCTGCCTGCCGGGACCCGCAACTGTGCAATGACCCGGCAGAGCCGAGGGCAGCACTAAATCGGCGAGCTCAAGGGCGGTCGTCGAGCTCTCGCCTTGCCTTCGCGGCAGGAAGCTGCGTCTTCCCGTGCAGGGATGGGGCGCTGTCCTGCAGACGACTCCTGTCCCGGCCTACAGCGTTGCTTCACATAGATCACGTCCTTAATAGAAAGAGTTTCTTCAGAAGCAGCCCCAGGTTAAGTAAGGTGAGGGAAAGGAGGGGACCTGTTTCCCACGCTCCATCAAGGCGGCTTGCCCGTCAGCTCAGTATTTGGTAATTACTGGAAAGGGTGGGGCAAGGAGCCCCTTGTAAACCAGGGACATGGGGAGAAGGGGATGAAATAACACTGCTTGCTGTTTTTAAGTTTGGGCATCTCAACTCTCACTGTACACTTTTGCTTATCTTTCCTTCAAAATCCCGAAGAGGGCACAGAGCTGGCGCCTGCTGCCAAGGAGGCCAGGCAGGGCTCTCACCTGGGGGCGAGGCCTGTAGCTGCTCCGCCTTGCAGGGACCAGAGGCGGAGTCACCACTAAGGTCACCACTAAGCGAAAGATAAGAGGGGAAAGGGGTAAAGGTGGGAAAAAAGAAGCTTCCTGCCCAAATCCGGTTTCCCGGGGCTTCTGGCTCTGGAGGGAGAAGGGTTCTCAGACCCTGTGATGGTCCCCCCGGGCTGAAGCCCTGTTTGCTAGGGCAGGAGTGCTGAAGGTGAAGCTCTAGAGCCAGGACCTTCGGCAGCTTGACTTCGGGATTCCGGCTCTCTTCCAGTTGCAGGACGCATCTGAAGCGTGTTTGCCAGGAGAACACACCAGACTCCTCCCCCAAGGCCATCCACTCCACTGGGATCCCATTTCCCGCCCTTTGCCCCGCTCCAGGATCCGACCCAGGCACTGCAGCTCCGCCCGCGCCAGTCGCGGGGAGGCGCCGGGGCTAATCCCAGTTTGAAGGAGGCGCCCCGTCAGCCCTGCGGCGATGCTCCTCGGCTCAAACTCACACACAACTTTTCCGGATTCGGATTTAGGACGCGTGCGCGCACGCTCGGCCGCTGGGGGCGGGGCGAGGCCTGGGCGCGCAGTCTGGGGAGGATGCGGCCAGGCGGCGCGCGAGCCGGGATCGACGTGGGCGCGCGGGCGGCGTCCGGCGCGGGGGCGCGCTTCCTCGTTGGCTGGGCGGCGATACTCGCTGGCATGGCGCCTCGACCGCTTTCGCCCTACTTGTTTTTCCTGGCAGCCCTGGTAGGGCTCCTGGGTCCCAGCGAGGTAAGGCGCCCCACTCCTGGGAAGCCTTCGGCCAGAGATCTCAAAGCGCTTTGCCAAAAGTTCGTCCTGGAAGGAGTGACGCGCCTAGAGGAAACTCAAAGTCCCTTCTACCCGCAACCCGTGGGCCTGGGAAGAGAGAGAGAAGGTAGGGCCCTTCTGAGGCCAGCGCCCCAGCTCTGCGCCTTGGACCCACAGGTGGTGGCTGAGCTGGTGGAGGAGGCTGGAGCCCGTTGTCCCGAGGGTCTATGGCCTCTGCCCCCACAGGTAGGGACCCTGAAGGGCCGGGGGAGAGAGGGGTGCAAACGAGTAGCCCAGTCCCTCTGGTCTCACTATACCTTTCGCGGTCACCCTGTGGGGACCTCTGCTGGTTCCTCCTGCTTCGGTTACTAATTTCTCCATCCCAGTCTTGATCTTCGGGCCTGGTGTCCCCTCTCTACCCTACACACATAGTGCTCCAGCTGCACTAAACCTTTTTCTTTCCCCGTATGTAGGTGTTACCAAAAGTGACCTACACGCGAGTGAGACCAGGGCAGGTAAGTACCAGGAGGCTGCAGCGTTGCTGTCGACGCCTGAGACATGATTTAATGCTTTCTGCAGCTTTCCTGCTTGTCAGTTCCCTTCCCTACCATTTTCTGCAGAAAGAGGCCAGGTTCACTCTTCAGAACCTATCAGTTAATCACAGCAACGCTCCTGCTTCTCTTCTCTGGCCATAAATTAATTTCATTTGAGTCTGTATCTTCAATTCCTGCTGGTCTACTCACCACACAAGCAAATGCCAGGCTCCTTCCCTTGCCCTACCTTTGCTCCAGTTTATTCTGCACACCTGGTCTATCCTGACCAGGTGCAGCCCCTGCCTGCCCCCCCATCCCCATCTATTTTCACAGCCCAGCGCAGCTGAGTCCCCCTGAGACTTTGTCTGATCCTATCAGCCCATCTTCATCCCTTTACATTCCTTTAGTACTTATAACTTGTCTCCTACAACGTAACAACTAACCACTTTGTGCTTTATTAGTTTTCCCTTTCATTTGCATTATGTCCTTCCCCCAGGACTGGGGATTAAACCTAGGACCTTCACACTGAGCTACATCCCAGTCCCACCCCCTTTTTGAGACATATTCTCACTAAGTCACTAAATTGCCTGAGGCTGGGGCTGGAGAGATGGCTCAGTGGTCTAAAGCACCTACTTAGAACAAGCTTAGCAAAGCATCAGGGACCGCGGTTCAATCCCCCAGCACCACATGCCAGCCAGCCCCGCCCCCTGGTGGGCTGAGCTGGCCACACACACCACACACACTCTCTCTGTCTCTCTCTCTCTCTCTCTCTCTCTCTCTCTCTCTCTCTCTCTCTCTCTCTCAAATAAATAAAAATTAAAAAAAAGTTTAAGGGGCTGGAGAGATGGCTCAGTGGTCTAAAAGCACCTACTTGGAACTAGCTTGGCAAAGCATCAGGGACGGCGGTTCAATCCCCCAGCACCACATGCCAGCCAGCCCCGCCCCCTGGTGGGCTGAGCTGGCCACACACACACACCTCTCTCTCTCTCTCTCTCTCAAATAAAAACAAAAAAAAAAAAAAGTTTAAAAAAAAAAGTTTAAAAAAAAAAAATTGCCTGAGGCTGGGTTTGAACTTGCAGTCTTTTTGCCTCAGCCTCCCAGAGTGCTGGGATTACAGGAATGTACTATTGTACCTAGCTACTGAGTTTCTTACATATTTCTGTAGGCAGAGTCCAGGAGTTCTCTTTTTGCTATTTCCTCCAGCATCTGGCACAGTGCTGAGTGCTGGTTTAATTCAACCAAGGTATAATGAATGACTGATAAAGTTTTATCCTGCGATTGTGCACTTGCTGCCTATGTGCCTCATACTTGGATCCTCTTGGGAAACTGACTATATAGATTAGATTGATAGAGAAGAGTTGGTCTTTACTTGAGGGATGTTTATCTTCTAGATTGTGGATCTGTAGACCCAGTGTTGCAGGAGCAGAGAAATACACTTGATCTTAGCCAAAAGGCTGAGAAGCTATGGGAGCAGGGAAATAAAGTGTGGTCTAACAGGGTTGTCTAAGCATTGTTAGCTCAGAGGCTCAGCCTTGAGGGGTGATATTTGTTGGAGAGGGGAGCAAAGGGAACTCGGAAGCAAAAGAGCCACTTGTTCATGCTGGTAGTCACTTTACAGTGGTCCCCAAGATGGGTGTACTTGTGACTCTCTGAGAGGGAACTGGGCCTGGGTTGATGTGTCTGCCTTTTCTCTAGGAGGAGGATGTCACCTTCCTCTATCACCCCTGTGCTCATCCCTGGCTGAAACTCCAGCTTGCCCTCCTGGCCCATGTTTGTGTTTCTAAGCCCTCACTCATCCCTGACTCCAACCTCACTTGGGACAGGGTAAGTGGATGATGAAAGACAGTGGTCTTGGCCATGGCAGAAGGGATCAGCCTGTCTGTGCAGGGCAAGGAAAATACAGGAGCTTCCTTTTGTTTGCTTTCTTAGCTCTAAAATTTACCTTGTTTCATAGCCCCTGGTGCTGACATCATGGGGGATGGCACTGGAGATGGCATGGGTAGAGCCAATCTGGGCTGCCTACTGGTTAAAGAGGAGGCAGCGGAGGAAGCAGAGGAAGAAAATATGGTTCCATTCTGACAGCCTTGCTCAGCCCTTTCCATCTGTGCCAAGCCACCGCAGAGGGAGGCTGTATCCAAGAGGCTGTATGCAGGTGAGTCAGGCCAGTCTGTCTTGGACCTATCTTGGCCTAGTTTGGCGGATGTCAGAGTCACTGGCTTATCTAAGCAGGACAGGAGTGACAAACCACTATTTTCTCCCCTTAGGCCCCAGCATTGGCCTTTGCTCTGCGTAGCTGGAGGCCTCCTGGTACAGAGATGCTGTCTAGAGGGCCCAGGCAGCGCTCTTCCAGTGGTGCCAAGAGACGGGGGCTTCGAGCTGCCCTGGGTCTCCAGTCCACTCCTGAAGGCCTGAGGGTTCCTTTTGCTTCCCCGTGGAGTTTAAAGGTCCAGCAGCCCATTTTGAGAACGCAGAGTGAGGAGGCTGATTCCCCATCTGTGCCTTTAGTCCCCTTGTCACCTGAGGGACCAATTAGCAATGCAAGCATCAGGTCAGAGGGTCAGACACCCAAAGCCCAAGGCAACCCAGGGGGGTGTGCCTGCCCCAATCAGGCTTCCCCTGCCCCTCGAGCAGCAGCGCCTCCACGGGCAGCCCGGGGCCCCACCCCACGCACAGAGGAGGCTGCCTGGGCTGCCATGGCCCTGACTTTCTTGCTAGTATTGCTCACACTGGCCACGCTCTGCACGAGGCTGCATCGAAATTTCCGCCGGGGAGACAGCGTCTACTGGGGACCCACAGCGGACAGCCAGGACACTGTAGCTGGTGAGACCTCTCCTCCTTACGTCTGCCCAAGCTCAGCCCAATGGCTTGCTTGCTTTTGACTGCTACCCTTCCCCACAGCTGTGCTGAAGCGGAGGCTGCTGATGCCCTCGCGTCGAGTCAAGCGCTCCCGTCGGAGACCCCTGCTCCCGCCGGTGCCAGACAGTGGCCCGGATGTGGAGAGCTCCGACTGACTCTCCCTAGCCCTGCCGCTGGCCGGGTGGGCTCCTCTGCTGTGCATCTAGGGCCTCTGCCACGTAAGCTGCAGACAGGGGCGCCCCCTGGTGGCACATCCAGCAGCCCGGCTACATATTGCAGATACTGCCTCTTTGACAGTGTAGGTTGTGTGGAGTGGCCAGGAGAGCCATTCCTGACCCTCTTGCCCAAACTTGTTTCTAATTAAATTATTTTAGTAGAGCCCGAAGCTAAGCCTATGCATCTGCCACGTACACACACTCCCCTAGAACACTTCTAGGACATCTGGGTTCGTCATCCTCCCCCACCCCTTTCATGGCTCTTAGTGTCTTTTATGCAATTTATTTTGAAGCTACTCTTCTGAAAGGTATTTCCAACAGTGGGCTTTCCTGATACTGGGTCTTCAGACGCTCTTTTATTTGCTCCACGCTTCTCTTAGATTTTCTTCTTTGGGAAAGGTGTGCCTTCAACCTCTCCTGACTCCCAGTTTCCTAAGCATGAGATGCAACACATGTTCACTTATTTATTTTTGATACAAATGTACATGACACACGACCGTCCACCCACCACCACAGGTAGGGCTGGCCTCTTGGGGGAGAGGTGGGTCAGGAAGAGCTGGTGGGTGCTGTTGTCAGCCTCCAGCCTTCCCAGGCTGCAGTCAGGTCCCCAGGCTTCCAGAGGGTGGGGCCACCTTAGGTGCAGGTAGTGATGTGAGTACTGGCCTCGCAGAGGTTATGGGGAAGGGCTCTCAGGTCCACAGCCACCAGCTGAGTTGGGGACCCCGGGGAGCCAGCCCCAGGCTCGGGTGCTCAGCCCTCTGCCTGGCCAGCACTTTTCCCTCTACAAAGGAGGGGAAGGAGAGATGGAGGGAAGTGGTTTTCCTTTTAAGTTCATAGAATAGGGGCACGAGTGGGGACTGTGATAAGAGGCAGCGTCAGGATCAATCTGGTGATCCCAGCAGTCTCTGGTCCCAGTGAGGGGAGAGGAAGACTCCTCCTCCAGTGCTGGTCCCACTGCTCTGGTCCCCTCGCCCCTCAAAGCTCCAGGTGAGCCAGGCCTCCCAAATGGCACTGCTGCCCACACACTCACACGCAGGGACACTCAGTTACCACAAAGTTAAAATTAAGGAGTTGGGGAGAAGAAAGAAAAAAGATTTTCCAGTGTTTGCTGCTGGGGACCCCAACATACTAGTTGGGGCCTGTGCCCTAGGCAGGGGCCGTTTGGCATTAGAGGAGAGCAGCAAGAGGGCTGGTGGCTACAGGGTGGGGACATCCAGAGAGATATGTACAAAGGAGGGGGATGCCCCCACTCAGCCCCTAATAGGGCTGAACTGGCTCATGGGGGTAGGCTGCACATAGGGGAACAGCCCCATGTGGAGTGTCCCCATCCAACCCTTTGCTAAAGGTGAGGGGCTGGGAGTGATGCCTTTCAGGCCCCTGCACGCAGAAAGGGTGGGGTACTATGTACAGGGAGGAGGTACATGGAATGTGGGGGACAGAATGTCCTGCCACACCACCTCCCCATCCTTGGGGCTCCAGGAAAGTGGGCACCAGGGCGCCTGGCTGCCAGGGGAGAGTGGCAGCGCTAAGGGCACTTGTGCCAGTGGCTCTGTTGGGGTAGGTTAGTGTCTGGAGTGGCCCAGTCCCCATGGTCAGTGAGGTCCCAGGGTGTGGGTGAGGGCAGGGAGTGTAGTCACTGCTTCTTCTCTCGGGTGGTAATGGTGACCAGCTGCTTGGCGGCCTTGGCGATGTCATAGGCGCACTGGATCACCTGCTGAGTCAGCAGCTGGAAGTCCACAGGAGCGCCAGGCTCTGGGGGCACTGTCTTCCGGCACTCACTCTGCAGTCGGTAGGCGCTGGCATTGAGCAGCCGCAGAGAACTGCGCACAGGCTCCAGGGCTGGCCTCTGGAGAGAGACAGGAGGGTGGGAGGAGGCTGGGCTTTGGACTTGAAGCCATGTAACTTGATCATAACACCCAGCAGGTATATTATCTCCACCCAGGGAACAGATTCCCTATGCCTGCCCCACCCTGTGGGCCTCCTGCTCCTCTCTGATCCTGTACCTTTGGGAAGAGAGAGGCCATTTCAGTCACAGCCAAATGGATCTTCTCTGAGCAGGGCACAAAGCTGTGGGGGACAGGAGGGGATAGATGAGGAAGGCTCCTCAGGAAGGGTGTCAGGGACGAAGGAAAAGGGCCCATCTGCTTCCCTCCCTCACATATACAAACCTACCCCATGCACATATACCTGTCATGTTTGAACTCCTGAGCTGCCCGCAACAGCTCTTGAATGTTCTTGGTGACCTGCTCTGTCTTTAGGATGACATCCTCGGTGCTGGGGAGCCCAGGATCTAGGTCCCCATCTAGGCTCTCCAGCTCAGGATGGAGATCATCCTCCTTGCCCAGCTCTATGAATCGCTTCCCTTCCAGCCTGAGTCGCAGTGTGAGAAGAGAAAGCTGATTCGGCCATGGAGCTTGCTGCAGACACCCAGGTCTGCTCCACCTCTTCCCCTCCATGTGCCAGGGCTGGGGGATCTAAGGGAGCCTCACCCAAGCAGCGGATCCCCACTCTGCGTGTTCTCATAGTCACTGTCAGCACCACTGCCATGGCGGGAAAGTTTGCTCTGGAGGGCATGGGGGAGGACCAGAGGTGAGTGTGCATTCCTGGTGCATATAGCCTGCTCCCCACTGTCCCCAGGAGCACTGGGCTGAAAATGTTACCACATGACGGCTTCCTTCCTGGGAGCACGATAGCAGTGGGGAGGAAGGAGTGAAGGGCACAGCTGAGGCAGACACACCCTTCCGAATCTGAAACACAGAAATAACCAAAGTCAGTCTCGCCTCTCTAGCTCCAGCACCAGCACAGCCTGATACCTATTGGGATTTAAAACCTGTTAGTGCATCCACCTTTCCCAGGCCCAGCTTACCCGGTAAAGGCCAGCAGGGACATGCACAGAATAGACGGCGTCATCCTCCAGCTCCTGTGGGTGGGGGTAGCACCGTGGACATCACAACAGGCCCTGTGGCAGGCCCAGCCCTGTCTCCCCACCCAGGATGCACAGTTAACTCACAGTGCTGTGGAAGGGCTGTAGCCGTGTGGTAAGCTCGTCTCCAGGTGCACCCCCAAAGGGCTTCAGAGCAGAGCCTGGCTCATACATAGAGAAGGCCTGGCGGTCCCGGCGGTGGGTGCTCCCACCAGGTGCCATGGGTGTGTGCTCTGCCCGTTCACTGGGGAGTGGGGGTGTGGGCATGGGCCCTGGTGGCTGCCGGAGCTGCAGGTTCTCTGCTTGCAGCTTGTGGATCTGTCAGTGCACACAGTGGTATCCAACCCTGGATCTGGGCAGGCACCCTACCTCTGAGAGAAGGCACCCTTCCCTCCCAGTGTCTTGAATTCCCTAACCCCAGGCTGCGGCCCTCACCTCCCTCTGCAGTCTTCGAAGTTCATCACTCAAGCTGCTGTTAACCTTCATGAGCTGCTGCACTTTTGCCTCAGAGGTAGCCAGGGCCTTCTTTAGCTCCAAGTATTCCTGAAGCGTCACGGCCCCATCAGACAGATCTGAGGAGTCCATGCTCTGCACAGAGAAAGAGAAACTGGTCAGCCATGGGGATAAAGAACAGATGCCCTTGAAGGTGGGAGCAGCCCCCTGTGTCCAAGGCTCTGTGAAGAGCTGGGGCTTCACAGGGGCAGGTGGGGATGAGTAGAGACAATGCTCAGACCCGGGCACGGTTGTTCCGAGTGGCACCAGTACTGCGTAGTGGCTCTTGGTCTGTGTCCTCGTCGGAGGCCACACTATCATAGTCATGCTGGTCGTCAAGGTCACTCTGGCTCCTTGTAGACAGCTCCAGGTTGTCTGAGGACACAAGATCTGTTAGACAGTGCTCATTCGGCCACAGAACCCATTTTTTCATGTCCCCTTGCAAAGGGAGCCACCCAGAAGAATATCCTGGGACCATGGTGCCCACAACCCTGCTCAGGGCCTTCCACCTGTGGGGCTGCTCAGGCTCTTGCCCTGCTGTCTCCGCTTGGCCTCACTGAGAATATCAATGATCAAGGTGGCAAACTCCCGGGCATTAAAGCGGGCCAATTTCTGTCGCCCCTGCAAGGCAGAAAGGACCAGGACAGCATAAGAGACAAGGGGCCCCTTATATCAAACCCATGGGGATGGGGACAAAGCAACAAGGCAATGCCCTGTCATCTGATTTAACCACAACTACAAAATTCCAATCTTACTTCACCTGGCTAGTCAGCAGCACAGATATCCAAGGCAAGGCCAGCCCAGCACACAGAGGCCGAATCACCACCTGAGCCTGCTTACCAAGCCCACAGAAGGATGGCCTCTTCCCCGCTCCAGAATGTGAGGGCCAGCCAGGCCCTGAGGAAGACCCCAACAAAGGGTAGAGAGCTGACCTGCACCTGCCCATGGCAGGTTGAGGAAAAACAGGGCTCCCAAGAAGGGAACAGCCACCCAGTTCCCCTCCCCAGCACCCTCACCTGATTCCGTGTGGCTGAGTATTCTGGGTTAACTGGCAGGAATGGTACAGCACTGCGCTCTGTCACCAGGGTGCTGTGGTTTTGGGTAGCCAGCCACACTGTGGAGGAGGGAAGGGAGCACATCATTTGCCACGGCAGGGATTCCAGGGTGGAAATAGGAAGTGCTATCCTTCCCACAATACCCCAAGCTGGCAGTCTGAGTACAACAAGGGGTTATCATCAAGCCCAAGAAGCCAGGCTGGGCTAGGGCAAGGATGGGTGAGGCCACTGGCAAATGAGGAGTGGAACAAGGCAAGTCCCGCCAGGCCAATCCCATAGTTTGGGCTGGAACTCGGCTGTGGCTTGGAAGGAGTGATGCAGGGGGGTGGAGCAGGACTGGGGAGGTGGCCAGCACAGTGATGAGACTGGCCCAGGGGTTGGGGGTGGGATGGGCTGGCTCTTCCAGCTGAGCACACTCTGCCCAGTGAGGAGCAGCCAGCCAGGCTCACAGCTGGTAGGGGCTCACCAGCAGGTAGGGTTCTGAGACACCTCACTTCTTTTTAGTCCCACTGAAAGACCCAAGCCCCTTAGTAGGCCCCTCCACCCAGCTCTCTATGCCAGTCCCTACTCACCAGCATCATTTTCTCTTCTGTCTACCTCATCATAGACGTCCATGGCAAGTTCTTCAAAAAGTCGGTTGCTGAGCTGGAGACAGAGAAGGTGCCCCAGGTTTATAAGATCACCGGCCCCACAAGCCAGT